TTCAAAAGCTGCGGATCTATTGGAATTTTACTCGTGAAAATAATTTGCTGTTTATTGCTCTCCATCAAACAGGTTTGTGTCAATAAAATCAAATCTTAAGATTTAAGCATCTTTCGATATCATTGAATCACCAATGTCTAATAATCTAATAATCTAATAATCTTTGGACTTTGTTGTAATCAAAGTGGTGATACTTGGAAGCCTTAGGAACCCAAGTTGCCATTTGGCAGCATTTACACAAAATCCTCCAAAAACCCAAAGAAAAGGCATAAATATATATAATTGTCTTGACCAGATTGCTAAAGACGGCATAAACGGTAGAAAACAAATCTACATAAATAAAATCAATGCTTGGGTTTCAGAGGTTTATGGCACCTTTAACCAGACCTCATACTGTCAGTAAAACTGTGCATCATTGCCAAGTTTTTAGTATGTGAAGAATTCAGCATGAATGACTTGTGGAGCCATATATTCACACCAGGGCTGCTGTATATTCATATCGCTCTAGCCGTCATTAGTGTCACAGTGGGGAACACTTTAGAGGGAAGAAGATGAACTGATGCGATTGGCCAGAGTTAACACAACCACCAGCATCCACTGATATCCAAGCAGTAATCCAAATATACAACAAATAGCAGATGAGTAGGCAAAGAATACTTTCCATCCACAAGATCAGTATTTTTTTTGAATCGGGACACCTCGGGTGGATTATCACAAGTCCACACGTTGGACACTAACCACAAGCAAAAAAAAAAACCAGAAGCCTTCATTTGGTTCATAGCCATGGTTAACGAGTTCAGCATCAGAATTAATGACAAATCTTATTTTCAAAGATTGATTAATATTAATTGTTTTGACGACCATATTATAAGTGGATCCCGACCATAGATAGTTCAGGTATGATTCTGATTTATCTGCTTCGTTAACACTTTAAGTATTGTAAGATTTGTAGATGAATGATTATTGTTAACTAATGATACAAACTCCCTCATCATCATCATGCTCCTATATAACAATGCACAGGGATGTATGACTGACATAAAAAAACAACCAACCTAACATTTGCATGCTCTCCTTGTATGAACCAATCTGCTCCACATTTCCCCACCGTTAGCTGCACAATACTACAACGTGCAACAAACAGTTAAGGAGGGAAAGCGCCTCTCTCAGGATTGGCTTGTTTTTCTGATGCTAATCCACCCGAGACATGCACTCCCATCCTGAGTCTGTATGAAGCCTTTGTGTTTGGAGAGAACTCCCCTCGGACTCCAGTGTGGTTGTGCGGCAATGGCTGACCTTTCTGTATGACCACAAACGTCTCAAGGCTCTGAAAGGACAATACTGTCAACAACAACAACAACAGCAGGGCGGCTTGTCTCTTTTCTCCATCCTGTTCACCTCTCTGACAGACGGATCCGACATGTATCCTTGGTTTTTTTTCTTTTAGGAGCAATGCACAACAGCCCCCCTATTTGCATACGCTCCGTCTTCAGAAGTTTTACAGGCCAACTCGGGGACACTGCGTGCACTCAGTGAGCGCGCCATGTGCTGCCCCATTCCTGAGTTAATTTGTAACTAGCATCAGTGCCCTATAGCGCAAAAAAGGAAAAATCCAGAAGTTTTGAAATATTGCTGGCTGCGAGCGCTGCCCCTACGGAACGGCCTGCCGAGCACACACAAGGGTCGGTAGTGTGTGTGGAGCCCAGTGTAATTAAAGGGTGCTATAGTGCTGGCAGGACTGAGGTGAAGTTTGTCCCACTGACTCGAGGGATATTTCAGGAGGTGTGTTTAAGTGACAGAGTTGTGAGGAATGTTCCAGCAGGACTCTGAATCTTCCTTATTAACGGGACGCTGCCGTTTTTTCAACTGCGGGCCTTGTTTGTGTAGCTGCTTGTTTGTCGGTTTATTTATTTTTAATCACCAAAGGAAAAGTTTAATATCAACCCAGTGAAGCTTTTTTTTCATGTGATATTTATTCGGCAAAGCCTTTCTTTTTGCACTTTCAATGATTTAAATGTTGAGTTTAAAAACAAATTGAGCTCAGAGTGAGAGAAAGCTTCAGCGCTGCTGGATTTTCATCACTGGTGACACAGTTGGCAGCGCTCCTGCTACCTGACAGAGTTTTTTGGAAGCACATGGCGAAATACTGTGAAGGGAGAATTCCAACTATGGAGGGTGTCAGTGCTGTAACTCCTTCTATTCGCTGACTCGCTTCAGTGTTCTCATCTGCAAAGCGCTGGGAAACTGTTTTCAGGACCAGGGGACGCTAAAAAGCCAAAAAAGCCAAATGTGTCTCGTCACTACAACGAGAGTAGCTGTAGTACTAGCAGTCCACCTTAAAGGTTAGCCCACCTTAAATGAGCTTTGAATATTTATCCCCCCCACTCATCTTTCTGAGCTCATCTTCCTGTTCCACCAGAAGAGATTGACTCCTGGTGACATGTGCTCTGCACTTCAGTAGATCACTTTGATGCAGCGTTAGAGAAAGCGGAGCGTCTGTGTATATGAGTATTCATTTATGTGTTCATTGGGTACGTATTCGGTTTTCATTTTTGGTACTTGGATATTGATCAACAGGCATGTTGGAGACGCAAGAATTAAACCTTAAAATAAGTAAACATAATTTTAAACTTTTTGTCTATGGTATGGTTTTTGTATTAATGTGTGTTACCGAATAAAATCGCACATTATTAGGCACAAAGCTTGAGCTCTGCATTCAAAGACAATTCAAATGACAAAGTTATTGTGTTTCATGGAGGTGCTGATGAATGGCAGGGTTGGGATTTGTAGTTCTTTGAATTGTTGTCGTTCAATACCTACCCGGGATAACATTGTTAGGTCGGATGGATCAGCTTGGTTATTATTTCAAATTGATTGAAACTTGGTGTTTTTGTTGAATCTAAAAAGATGTACCATGTGGTGGGTGGATGTACTCGAATCAAATAAGAAAATTTATTTTGGGTAGTATTGTTATGTTATGTTGATTTGATTTGATATGGACATCACAGTAGCATTATGCTGCGTTCACACCAAACGCGGCGCGAATTATTTGCGCGAGTAGATTACATACAAAGTCTATGCACAGACGCGATGAGACTGGCGCGGCGCGAATTTGCGATTGCGCGGCACGATGGACGCGAATTCGGGGCCAAATCGACCCAAACGCCTGAGTTGAAATTTTTCAACTTCGCCGAAATATTCGTGTTACGCTCCGGCGCGATAGCCTATCAGCGTTGAGTTGCTCCCCCTGTCATCACTGACTTCCAGCCGTTGTTGAATCAGGAAATAAATACTGTAGCCGTCTGTGTTCACGCAGAGCTCTACGATACCTCATATCAATAGAGACCGGACCAAACTATGTGTATACGTGTGTGTGTGTGTGTGTGTGTGTGTGTGTAAACCATATGGTACAAACAATGAATAGACGCTGCCGTATTTACGTCTACATGACGTTAGTCTGAGTGTTGGTGGAGCTGCTACAATGTTAGCATAGCCTAGCACCGCTCCATCCGCTCCATTGAGAAGACAAGTAGCCTACAAATCTGCATCATTACGTTTCGGAGTCCCTTTTTGTCGGTTTATTGCCGTTAAATCACAGCCAAATCAGTTTATTTAGTGTTCATACAGCTGTAGTAAACAGCGACCTGTGGCTTGCTAGACACAGTGAATACAGCTCGATAAAATCCACGGAGCTCCTCTGAACAATATTATGAACCAGACATGACTGCGTTTAGTTTCCCGGGATATCTGTGACTTCCACAACACGTACTAAGCAGAAATATAGGTTATTTTTTCCATGGTTAATGGCGGACAGTTGAACGGCTTTCAGGGCGATAAGCCCCGCCGCCTCTCCGGCGCGATTCGCGCGAATGTACACAAATGGTCCCCGGCGAGACCTGCGCCGCGATTGACGCGAATATGCGGCGCGATTTTTATTTCTGATCGATAGACGAATCTTGTTAAACGATCATTAACCGTTAACTGACTGACTGACTTTGTGCCTTGCGTGCAGGAGTGCTGCAGTGGCAGTTCCTAACAAGCCAACCAGCTGCAAAGATAACCAATACACAGACGGGTTAAAACCATCATTTAGGTATATGATGTCATCTGCATACACGTGTTTTATGGCAACCAGTGCGTTGTAAAATTCCTCCAGTGTTAATAGTTAATCTAAATTCAGCTTGATCTTCTGTTGATGTGGGTAGGTCTATATTATTGAGGAATTTATTTATGTCATCAATGTTTGGTTCATTGTCTGATATACAGTATATAATTCCTGGTAAAATGTGTTTTTTATGTCTTCTGGTGAGACAAGTCTTTTGCGTCTTTTCACGTTTTTTTTTTTTTTGCTGTTAATGACTATTTGTCTTCTATTTCAGCATACTTGTAAACTTGTTGATGCTAAAATGCCAAAATGGAAACAAATATAGGCCAAAAATCCTGAATCAAAAGTCATTACAACGGCACATTTGATGAGCTTTAATAGGGTCTTACTCATCTGTTGGTTTAATTGTTTTTCTGTTATGTTGGTTCCGATATGTTGGTGTTAGCATCTATCAGATTGGAAATAATAATGATTCGGACATCCTCAATTTTTGCACGAAAGTCAAATTTTACACCGAGTTGATTTAAAAAGAAAAGAAAGTAGAAGTTCAAGCAGCTCTTCCTCCTTTCTTAACTTTCGTAATATTAGTACCCACACGTTTGCTCCGGACAGGATTCAAATCCCTTACCAGCACACGTTATGTTCAAATTACCCCACCTGCCCCTAAGCAGTCATCTCTGTCACAATTGGAAGAATTTTCATTTCTATTTACTCATTTAAAAATGTGTCCTAAACACACCTATCATTATTTTAATTTATATTACAAATTGATAATGAAATGAAGATAATTCCATTTTTTTTTGTTTTTTTTAGGATGACATTGTTATTAAAATTTATATTTTATAATGACTAATGACTCGACTACTGCATTTTTCTCTGTGTTATTTTCCTGCAGTGGTGATCATGTGCATGGGAGCGGACAAAATCCGAGAGATCATGCTGGCTGCACACAGACGACGGTTGACCAACGGCAGTTATATGTTCTTTAACGTTGAACTCTTCAACGCCTCTTCTTACGGTAACGTTAACGTCAAGTTACTTTTAAATGTGTGTTTGTTACACAAACTGAAGTTTATTTTACATCTTCTGGTTTTAATGTATGCATACATTTTCTATTCATCTACAGTTCAGGGCATAAATATTTGGACAGTGACATATTTTCTGCTGTTTTGGTGAGAATGTGAAAAAGACGAAAGAAAACCTGTGACATCTGGGACATTAGATCTGAATCATGACTATAAGTGAATGATGACTGATGGAATTTCTCTAAAGAGTTGGTGGTGACCAAAATCAGAATACAGTGTAATAGTAATTCGTAGTAATGTTATTAATAATGTTGCTCTTTGTCAGGCAACTGATTGCTTACATGTTCTCTATTATCTGGTGTCCTACATGCCCACTGACCTCCCTGAACCACACTTACACTTTGAGTCTCCATATTTAAAGGGCACTCTAGTTGATGCAACGCCAATGAACATGCCACTTAATTTAATTTCTGCACTACATAATCATAATTAATGTAAATCGGAGGGAAACTGGGGGTTTAGAGTTAGTTTTCTTAAAGGCCATCTAGCAATGAGGTTGGATATTGCAACCAACGGAATACCCCTCCGCTCACACACTGCGGTGGCCTTCACGTAATTTAAAAATGTGAAAGTCTCTCTAGAGCCAGCTCTTTATTGTCCCAAGTTGTGCATTTTGCTGTATTTTTATCTGCAGGTGAAAAGAAGCACCACATCACCCAACTTTCCTCTCTGTCATTCTATTCAAGTACTGCTAATATATCTCCCTAAATCCTACACATTGGACCAAAAAACAGATTTTGTAAAATGTTTTGGTTTCTACGTTGCCACTGTGTTTAGTACTTTTTTCTTTTTCTTCAAGTGGTGTTTTTCACCTAAAGGCCTCAGCACTTTACTGTAGCCAGCTACTTGGCTCAGTAGCCATGTCTTATCGTCTGTATTCAGTTAAACAAAATTGAAACAATTTATGTTTAACAATAACATTTTGAAATGTTCCTTGTTCTGTCCCTTATAATTAAAACTCTAGGCAATGGTTCGTGGAAGAGAGGAGATAAATACGACAATGACGCGAGGCAAGCCTATGCTTCTCTGAACACGTTGACACTGCTCAGGACAGTCAAGCCCGAGTTTGAGAACTTCTCCATGGAAATGAAAAAGTCCATCGAAAAAGCTGGGTATCATGACTGCAAAGACTGTGGAAGTGTACGTATGTCCGTTTATTAATGCTAGGTCTGCGTTACTGTATTGAAGTTATCAATTCTCCAAAGCGTACGTTGTAAAATAAAATGTCAGAAGCCATTGTGACTGTTGTGCTTCACGCACTGTAATTACAATTAAAGCTGCGAGCAGCGATGAACGGGCCCTGCAATCTGCAGCGCGCTGGGGGTGCTGGCGGGACCCCGGCCTGCGCGGCCGAGAACGTCCGCGACCGTCTGACGGCGCATCCGTGAGTGAGACGGATTTAATCCCGCGTGGACCGCCTGATGCTGGAAATGATGCTTTGCAAATAGTCTGATGCTTCCTGTATCCGCTGCCTGGCGCTAGAACACGTGCAAACATGCATCATGTAGCTCTGTGTCAAATGTAAACCACATTGTGTAAAAGTCATGTAAGTCGGAGGTGTTTATCACAAAATGCAGATTTCCTTTCGCCAGCAGGTGGCGCTGTGAGTACTAGTGAAAATAAGCTTGTAGACATCCTTAGGCCATGAGTGTTATCAAGCATGAGAAGTCTGAGACTGTTTGGAACATGTCCAGCTGAGATACATCAGCTTTTTTCATGGGGAATCACGTAAAGTAGCCGCCCGCTATGGCTAAACGATTCCGTCAAACGTAAAGCTTTTGATAACTTTTAATCACAACTGTCTTGAGATTGTACTGACAAAATTTAAACAGGATCTGATGAAGTCCCTAGGAAGAGTTCGTTGAAGTATAGTGACTAGAAATAGGCCAAAATCGATGGGAAAATGACACATAAATCTAAATGGCCGACTTCCGGTCGGGTTTAGAGCATGGTCCCAAGAGACTTATTTGTAAGTCTCCACAGGATACATCTGCTTATCAACTTTCATACATGTAGCTGAAACGTAGCGCTGGGGCTGCTCTTTTGAAATATTGTAGGGGGCGCTATAGAGGCAATTTAAAACGGATGATTAAAAAAATCATATACAATATTTCGTCCAATGACCTTTGACACATGTAAAAAGTTACATGCGTTTTTGAGCATCCCAAGTTAGTAAAACCATCAGCTTCGCTCAATATTCTCGGCGATTTATCATCAATGTCTTAAGGCTATCCTTACCAAATTCGAGACTCGTCAGGTCACCTGGCTAGGAGGAATAAATAAAAGTATAAAATTTGACATTTCCTTTAGCCAGTAGGCGGCGCTATGAGTTATTGAGTTTTTTTCAATTGAAGTATGTTCAAACTTGAAGTAGCATCATGCATAAGAAGTTTTGTGCGTATTTTCCGCACTATAAGGCGCACTGGATTATAAGGCGCACCTTCAATGAATGGCCTATTTTAGAACTGTTTTTATATATAGGGCGCACCGGATTATAAGGCGCATAGAATAGAAGCTACTACAGTCAAACGTTTGACAGGGGTTGCGTTATGCATCCACTAGATGGAGCTGTGCTAAAGGGAATGTCAACAAAACAGTCAGATAAATCATTCAGTCAAACGTTATTGATTTTTGATTCCATTCACAATACGGTAACTTAAACGTAGAGGGGGACTTTTCCCTGATTCAGTAAACACGTAAAAGAAACAGTCTGATACCACTAAATCAAACGTTAGTGCATTCACAATATAGTAACTCTCGAAATTGTTCAACTTACGTATAAAACGTAGTTAGTGCATTCACAATAACTCAACGTTGTTCAAACGTTAATGTGCATATTCACAATATCTCCCAGCCTTGTTCAGTTGTAAACACGTAAAAGAAACAATCTGATACCGCTAAATCAAAAGTTAGTGCATAACTCAACATTGTTCAGTTATGGTAGGTATATAACACGTAAAGCTCACTTTTTCAGTTCATTCCCCGTCCACGAATCCCTCGAATTTTTCTTCTTCAGTGTCCGAATTGAACAGTTGGGCGAGTACGGCATCCAACATGCCCGGCTCCCTCTTGTCATTATCCGAGTCAGTGTCGCTGCTATTGCCTGGCAGTTCAGTGATTATTCCTGCCTTCGTGAAAGCTCGGACCACAGTTGAGACTGATATATCAGCCCAGGCATCCACGATCCATTGGCAAATAGTGGCATAAGTCGCTCGGCGCTGTCTCCCCATCTTGGTGAACGTGTGTTCACCTTCTGTCATCCACTGCTCTATTCCCATGTTCGGCTGCGTAGCTGACAGCCTTGAGTTTGAACTCGGCGTCGTAAGCGTGTCTCTTGAAAGGTGCCATTTTGGGGTCTTTATACACACAAGTGGTGTTGGACTAGGAGTAAGCACAGTACCGGTGTTTACCGCTATTACTTCGGCGACGCCCCTGACTACGGTAGCCGTAATGCTGCAAGCGGTGCGGCTTTGTAGTTTACCAGTCGTACTGAAACATTTTGACAGAGCGCCGTGTACAACCAGTATAGATCAACCAATTGATCCATATATAAGGCGCTCCGGATTACAAGGCGCACTGTCGTTTTTTGAGAAAATTAAAGGCTTTTAAGTGCGCCTTATAGTGCGGAAAATACGGTACCTTTGAGTTATAACAACTGATATTTTCATAAACAATGAGGCAAAATGGCCGCCACGCCACGTCAAGGTTCTTCGATGAAAGCGTGCGATTTTGATAACTTTTAATCACAAAGGTCTTAAGAGCATCCTGACCAAAGCAGAAGTTGATCGCATAAATTCTCTAGGAGGAGTTCGTTAAAATACGAAGGCTGAAATCTGCAAAAAGTGACACAAAGCACAACTTCACGGGTTTGCTGTAGCGCCCCTTAGTGGTTGAATGCAAAACAAATCTCAGGGTATGTTACAGCATGCGATGTGCACATATGCTGCAAATTTGGGAATTGTAGGACAAACGGTTAAGAAGTTATGTGTATTGATATTAAGCCACGCCCCTAAGAAATTTATTGGTCCATATTTTGTAAACACTAAGAGATATCAAAAAGCTTTTGTTAGCTTTTGATGATCTAGATCCAATAATGATCCACAGCAAATTAAGTAGCAATCGGACGCAGTAGGAGGAGCTTGCAAAAATGTGTTTTTCACTAAATTCAATATGGCGGAAAATCTCAGTAGGCGGAGCTTAGGGGTCTGAGAGGCTTTTTTTTTTAGATCTAGCGGATTGGGACATCTGTGATGAATTTCAAGTAAATCGGACATACTGGCCGAGGGGCGTCGCCGGTCCGATTTGTAGGGGGCGCTAGAGAGCCATTTTTTTTTACACATTTTACACATTCTGCTGCCAAAATTTTGCAAATTTTGGCAGCAGAGTTTCTCCACCAGACGTGACAGGTGTGTAAAATTGGTGAGTTTTCATGCATGGCAAGTACCCCTACAAGCTCCATCCCCAGAAAAATAAAAATCATAAAGAATACCCCTTACAATATCAATAGGGCCTTCGCAGGCCCGACGTTGTCGGTTGCTCGGGCCCTAATAAGGCTATATGTTCCATTTCAGGTCAACATGTTTGTCGAGGGATTCCATGATGCCATGTTGCTGTATGCCATTGCCTTGCATGAAGCCATGAAAAATGGTTACAGTAAGAAGAACGGAACAGAGATCACCTCACGCATGTGGAACAGAACTTTTGAAGGTAAAACACACGGCGCACACTGAGCTAGTGATGACTGCCACTTCACTACCATTATGTTACTATTGTGGTAAAGATCAAATGCAAAACACAAGTAGTGTTATTTTAAATATCCTAGAAATATTATACAGAATTGCAGAGTTTAGAGAGAGAGAGAGTTACCTCAAAAAGACAGTGGCATGTTTGCTGTTTCAAGCTGTTGGTTCTCCTTAAAAACCATCACCGCAGCATGTAGGTAAATACCAGCTGATTGTCCAGCCCAAAAGGCTTAAACTGTTTTTAATATAGAATATCAATACAGTCATATCGCAAAGTTTAACACCTCACGTGATTCAAAGTATCATGCTACTGTCTTTCAGTTAACAATGAAACGCTCCTGTTCTCCTGACAAAAGCAATCGTGTGTCCCATGGAAACTGTGCTGCAAATACAGAAAACTCACTGTCCACTGTAAAGTCATGGTGCAAAATGATGATGTTTCATAAATGTCAATGTTTTGCTCACTATAGAGTAAACGAGTGTTTAGTGAATAAGGTGGTTTTGGACAGAAGGCTTGTTCAAGATGAACCAAGCCTGTGCAGAATGAATCCTGGGCCACACTGCCTAGCTTTACCTGTGTGCAACAGCTACGTCTCTAAGCTGCTGCGGCTTGCATGCATGTAATGTCCACATAGACAGCATTGCCGTTGCGACGTAAAGAAAAGCCAATGCCTTGTTGACCGGATTTTTCCATAGCCTTGGTCTTGAGGGCGGAGAGGGAGGAGAGCCAAACCTTGGGGGATGTAGAACCAGGGGAGGCAGTGATGCCCCGAGTGATGCCCCGAGCCTTCTTGAACACCTCCTTGATGTCCAAGTATTCTACAGGCACTTTAGAGAGGTCAGGGAACTCAGTACTTGGCAAAATCACTCGGAATAATAGGCAGAGTAGATCTAAGACAAACCAAATGGCTCCACTGTAACAAAAAAAATAATAATATAATAATAATAATAATAATAATAATATATATATATATATATATATATATATATATATATATACCACGGCGTTGTCCATGTTTTCGTCTTACAACTTTTTCACAGTGTGTTCTCAGTTCATAAAAGTTAATGTAACCTTTTTGGTTGCCTAAACGTGTGTTATTCAGCATTCGGCTGTACTTGGCTCTCACTTCTGGTTCCAAAAAGCCAAGATGGCGACAGACAAAATGCCAAACTGAAGGCTTCAAAACGGCAATCCACAAACCAAAGGGGGACGTCACGGTGATTTCGTCCTGTTCTTATGTACAGTAAATGAGTAACGGAGGAGGGGGCGTTTCTGGATCGATGGTGTGGCTCACTAGTGCTCTCTCCCGTGCCACCAGCTTATCTTTGATAACATCAGAGAGTGCCTTAAAGAAGGCAACGCAAAGGGACGGAGCATTCCCCTTACTCCCAGCAGCCACAACTCTAAACGCAATAGAGTAGTTGGCCACTTATCTCCCTCCTTGCATCACTTCCAGGAGAGAAATTGTCTAACACCTTCTTGAGTTCTTGAGAGTAACTTTCATATGTTTAATTTTTTTCGTTTGCCGTGATAAGTATTTGTTACAACACTATGCTCTTAATTGAAACTAAAAAGTTCCTGTATCCATTCCAAATTAAAAGACGCATTTCAGTTGACTGATCCCTTCATTTCCTAACGAGGCTTTTTATTAAGAAATATTTGCAGTAACGTGTTTGGTGAAAAGTTGGTGACTTGCATGTTTAACATACCATACTTGAAATGAAGCTATTGCCATTTTGTGACACCTGTACGTTACTACAAAATACAGTTTGATTGGAACATTAGTTTTTTTACAGTCAAAATGTTCAAAACTCTAAACACAATTAGCACAACACCCGCCTGTTGTGGACCATACCATTAACGTGATTCATGTTGTTTTCACGGAATGTGCTCTCAATTAACACATTTCAATAAAGGCTACATTTTCTTTACATACAAGCTTACCTAATACCAAAATGACGAATCTTTTTGTCTTATTTACACAGTTTTTATGTGGGCAATAACGTGTGTCCAAATGCTAAATATTGTATAGACTACAACAGGACTGTGCATTCTAGTGCTTTTTTTCACCTTCTGTGCCGTCGTTTTGTTTTTGAGAATTATTTGATATTGAGTTGGGTTCGCCATGTTTTCATAGATTTGGTGAATGTAGAAACTTTTTTTTTTGCATTTTCAAATATGGAGTGGTATTTCATGGACAAAATGAGGTTTTGAGGAGAAGATGAACTATTTTAAATTAGCTAGTTGTGTGATGTAGATGTGTAGCTCTGTTAACTGTAAAACACATACACACAATATGAAAATGGGACAATAACTATTAAGATGAGTGATTGAGAACAACAAAGTGTTGAAAATAGCGTGATTATATTGTTGAATTTGCTAAATTAAAGGGTTGAAAATGTACATTATATATGCACTTTATATGGGCACAAGGAGTTTATCCACTTTTCTAATCCCCTGGCCTGTATTTTTGTTTGTTCCTGGCGACAATGCCCCTGGCTATAACTTGAGCCCTTGACTATTGGCCTTATTTGAGAAAATATAGTATTTGTTTGTGAATGAAATGTTAGATTATAGGCCCCCGAAACGGTATGTGAATGAAATCCTCTTCTACACTTGCAGAAACATGTTCCAATATTTTCTTGGGGGTTGTAGCTAAGTGATGTTCTCATTGTTTTCACGGTGGTGGACAGGGATCGCTGGTCAGGTATCAATGGACGTCAATGGTGACAGAAATGGAGATTTCTCTTTGATGGCGATGACGAATGTTGAAGCAGGAACCTTTGAGGTGAGAAGAAGCAAAATTCCAACATCGTGACACCTTCCCTAACAGGAAGAAGAAGATAAATATGCTGGATGATAATATGGTATATTCACTTACAGGTGGTGGCCAACTACTTTGGTGAAAATGGAACTTTTCAGCTGCTGCCTGCCTTCAACACGGACCATTTCACGCTGAAAGGAAGACATATAGCACACACAGAGATAGCGGACAAATCATGTAAATGAACACCACAGTTCAGTGACACCTGTGAAATGTGACTTGGTATGTTTCTCTACAGTATGTGTGACGGAGTACATGTTTTTACCAATAACTGCTCTTCCAAACAGGTGGACTAGGAGTATCGGCTTTGACTGGAGTCATAGTAGGAGCTGTTCTAGGAACTGCCATGCTTATAGCATTCTACTTTTTCAGGTAACAATAGGTGATATTTATGTATGCTAATATTGTTGCGTTCGAGTACTATCTGCTAAGTACTGTCAGCTGGCTCAGCCGTTAATCCAACACGTCCACCTGCCCTCCCACTTAAAGGCCTAGAGCAGGGGTCTCAAACTCCCGGCCCGCGGGCCAAATCCGGCCCGCCACGTCATTTTATGTGGCCCGCGAATCCGCCAGCAACATTAAAAAAAAAAAAAAATAATAATAATAATTAAAAGTTAGACTTGATAATAAAAATATCCCCATAGTCGAAATTATGAGATAGAAAGTCACAATTATGAGATAGAAAGTCAAAATGATGAGATACTTAAACACACAGTCATAGAAGCAGCTCTTTGGCTGGTTACCCTACATGTGACATTGAAATGTATTGTGAATACATTGAAGACTACTTTAAACGTGGCTTTAAAACACATGAAATACTTCATGTGGGATTGTGCAAATGCACCCTTGAAAGGATTTTAAGCATTGAGCATTATTGTAATAACTTGTATTTGATATTTGTCTTTGCTATTTTCTTTAATATTTTGATCTTTGATAGAGTAATGTGGGTTTCTTAACCCTAAATTAAAAGGATTTAAGTTATAACAGAAATGTGCTTAAATATATTTTTACATTTATATAACTGCATGTACAATATTCTTACACTTGAATAAACAATAATCAAATGCAGACAGTTATTTACCAATATGTTAGGGAGTAGATACATTTACACAGTCTTACATTTACAACCGGGCCTTTGAGGGCGACCATGATGCTGATGTGGCCCAGAGTGAAGATGAGTTTGAGACCCCTGGCCTAGAGACAGTGGTCCCGGGGTGCAAAAGAGAAAACACAATGGCATGTGGTGAGACTCAAACGGGAATATGTAGGTCCGTATTGAACAATGATTCCTCATTACGGATCGGATGCACTGTCTTGTGGCACATTGCTTCCCCTCTCGGGTCAGTGTTTGTATTGAAGTCCGGATTGTACAACAAATGGAAATTGCTTTTGCGCTCTTTTGCCATAGTGTTTTCTGTTTGGCTGTTGTGCATTCTGAATTGTCGTAGTACTTTAGGGCCACTGTACTTTTTAAACGTATTAAATAAGGAATTGGAAATGAATAAATAAATTACCTGAAAATCACAAAGGCTGGAAACAGACTTCTAGATAAACAATATTATCTAAACTGCTCATTTGGAATTAGCATTAGAAGCGAGCACGCCCAAATGTCTTTCAAATATATGTGTATTGCTTAGAAAAAATACTGTTTATGTAAGTACAGTACATGTACTGAAGGTTGAAGCTGAAAAAGAGTCACTTTGCGAAATGTTATGGACTTTTAAAACACTCATTTTCACCAAATAAGTAATAAGACAGTTTTATCTGCTGCTTACCTAACTCTCATTGATTTTGGTGATTAGGACTTTATGATAACTGAAAAGAATGGCGGTGAAACCTACAGAAAAAAACATGTTGAAAAACACAATTTTTTCTCTCTTTGCAGAAAAAACTACAGGATTACCATTGAGCGCCGCACGCACAGTGAAGAGTGCGACAATGGGAAGCACCGTCAGTTACGAGAGGACTCCATCAGATCGAACTTCTCCGCAGCTTAATCGGCGTCAGCCCCCCAAGAATCACATCTGAATGTGACCAAAGACTTTGCTATGGTTGTCATTGGAACCATGCTGTTAATTAAACATGAGACATTTTTTGTATTTGTATCCTTTAATATTTTGACTTATTGTAACTCAGGACAGTTGTAACAGTCACAAAGCACCACTTACTTGGATTGTCCTCCGTACAAAAGGTATATGATTGTATTGGTGTATAGAAAGCTTTAGCCATAATGTTCTTTTAAAGGTTTTATATACAATATTTAGAGCATAAATATAGCAGCAAACATCTATTTGCTGTGTAAAGATAACATTAAGTAACGGGGTCCTGAACAGAGAATTAAGTCACACTCTGAGCTTCTCTGGTCTTGTTTTTGGTAACCTGGCAGGCAGTGTGTGCACGTTGGAGAACGTGAGTCCATTCCCTCCCGCCCCACTGACTAGCTTTCCACTGCCGCTCTGCACAGCACTCATACGCCGGTAACCGCTGACAATGCTGTCTATACCCAGGCAGCAACCTTTGGTTCTGGCTAGTGAAGCCGATGCGGAAGTGTCTTAAAACTTGCATCCTCTCTACTGACCAGCAGGGGGCGACTCCTCAGGGTGCAGAAATAAGTCTGATTGTATAGAAGTCAATGAGAAAATGACTCTACTTCTCATTTGATTTATTCCCTCAGTAAACATGAGTTTTAAGTTTTCTTCAATACAGCATGATATTCATTTAGTAAAATGATGGTCCCATTTAGTGTAAAATAGACCACAAAGCAGAGTATGCTTTAGGGCGCGGCTACCTTGTGATTGACAGGTTGCTACCAGAACCGTGTATGATGTCTCTACGTCACTCATCCACAGTCCAAATATGGTAACTTCCGTTCATTTGTTGCAAAAAAAGAACAACATGATCACGGCCGTAACCCAATATGGCGACGGACAAATCGCCAAACTCGAGGCTGCAAAACGGTAGTCCACAAACCAATGGGTGACGTCACGATGACCACATCCACTTATATACAGTCTATGCGATGGAGCAGAAGTGTAACCCCCACCCTCCGTTTCCCCCCTCAGGTTAACACTGTTAGCGCAGTCAGCACTGTTGCCGTCGCTAGTGCTGTTTGCACCGTTAGCGCTGCCGCCATTCCAGCTCAGCCACCTCCATGTTTGCTTGTGGTGCCTAGGCTGTGAATGTCGTATACAGCTCCTTTTAAGGGTTTTTCTAAAATAATTTATTTGTTTGTTCTAATATTCAGATGGTGGTTAGCACGACTTCGAATGATTCAGAACAGACAGTATATTGAACACTACGATTGCATGCACTAGTGAGCCGGGTGAGGTCTAGTTTAGCCTCTGGACAAACGGAGGTGTCATGTTAAAGGTTGGTAAACAAAAATGGCGAAGCAAAACTTCTAAGAAATGATACAGCTGGAGCTAACCGACTAAAAAGTGCTATAGGTGAGGTCTCTTATCTATAGGCTATAAGCTACTGATATTAAGCTACTGATATTGTTACGGTTTTCCGTTCACCATTACCTTTGCTGAGATCCAGCAGCCTCCGTACAAATCAAATGTCTCATTCCTAACTGAGCACATTGCTCTTAAAATGAGAAACACTGGATCACATATCTGGAGTACATCTGCACTTTGAGATTGGCTCAGTTACAGTATGTCCTCTTTCCTTTTTAAATGCATCTATTTCATGAATTAAAAAATTTAAAAAAAAGTGTTTCGGCAGAACTTTCTGATTTGGCATTCTTTACGAAGTATGCTTTATTAATGCTTAATAAATCATTCACAAACGTAGAGCAGTAATAAGCCGGTAGTAAGAACAACTTGGGTTGAGTTGTGGTCATTTTGGCTAAACGGCTAACTGTTCTCCCAATGAATTAAAGGAAAACTATATAAAAATATATTACAACTTGGGTTTTATTTTTGTAGCGCTGGCCTTTGGTTCTATCAGTTTTGATTTTCTGATCTGCTATGTGCTCAAGTTTGTTCCCCTGTTGAGCGTTTTGTTTTTAGGAATATAACTGTGTTCTGAGACCTTGAGCACAACGTTATCACAACCGATTAAATCGAAAAAATAGAAGTGGAACAAAAAGAGAATTATAGAGCTCACTTCCTGCTGAAGGAATGTATATTAATAATGGCTTATTACTGGCACATTCATTACTAAATGATTTATCAACATTACCAAAGACATATTATGACCCCTTTTATAAAGTATTCCTTATCAGAAAGTGAAACTGAATTCATAATTAATTGTGATAGTCATGATAGATGATTATGTTTCTGTGTTGTGAAGGCAGCGTGATATGCTTTCCATAAACAGTGATGACTGCATGAAAAAAGTGTTTCAGTCCACATTAGTGACCCTTTAGTTTCTTTAGCTGGTCATTAAGGTTGCATTGTTCATGCAGGATTTAAAGACATGTTTTTTATAGATGCAAAATAAAGACGGTGAACTTGGTAAATAGTTCACTTTGTGTGTTCTGAGAGTAAACCCATTTCTTGTATTCACTTTCAAAAACGGTTTCATTCTGGAGCACCACGGTCGCTGGTTTTGTTTAAAGCTCTGTATAATATTACTATTATAACTTGGTATCTCTTAGGGTATAGTGGCTTTAACGGTGACCTAATGTATTTAAATTATTCTATGTTATTTAACATCAATATTTTCAAATATGTCTCAATATTTAATTTATAGTGATTTTATTAAACTTCATCGTATTTGGTTTCTTCATATCCAGATTTTTCCATCATCTCTTCAACTCCACCTACACTTCAGCTGCAATGAGTTCACGGTATTTGTGTCACATGATACCAGTTATATAATTAGTGTACCGACTGTTTGATTTGTAGAGTAGCCAGTGTCAAATGTGGCATTTAATGTTATTATAATTGAAGTGCTTTGATTAGAACATCTATTTTTATCATTAGGATTTCTTTTATTCTACAAAATCTTTACAAAGAATTTACATTCAAATTTGTAATCGTTACATTTAGTCTGTTTCCTGGCCAGCTTCAAATGATTTGCGCAAAGCTGTGATACTTCCTTATAATTGAGTTGGTGTTTTTTTCATTTGTGTAGCAGTCAAAAGAAGAAAACGTTTAGGCTATAAGAATGTTAGTTAACAATAACCATGCTTGCATGCAAGCAAGCCGGCCCATTCCACTACGTTCACTAAGAAACTGCAATTTTACATATTCTGTAAATGGAATAAATCAGGGGGGGTTCAGGTTTTTTAAATACCTTTAACTAAGTTTAATTTCCCCTCAGTCTCTCTGACTGGGCCGCAAAAGTTCTGTTACTCTGTGTCCGCCACTTTTACTACTTCTACTACTACTACTACTACTACTACTACTACAGTTACTGCTACTACTACTGCTACAGTTACTGCTGCTACTACTACTACTACTGTTACTACTACTACTACTACTATGCTATTTCCTAAATAAATCTAATGTAATCTTTCTGTTGACCTAATAGTATTTAGGCATTTACTTTGGATTGTGGGGGATCGTTGATTTGCAATCAGAGCAGCTCAGACTATTGCCATGGATTCAAATGTCAGCTCAACATTCATTCTACTACATTCTACTCCAGCATAATGTAACAAAAATAAGTTTCGAGATGAGTCAATTTGTTTAAATCCTACCCTACTTACGTATGTTTTGTGATTTAAAAATAGTAAGATCAGACAATGTTTGCCTCTTCTGTAAGGTGGCAGGAGTGAAAATGAGTCATCTTCAACATTTGTTGTGTTCTGGTTTCAGAATTAGGATGTAGGCACGATAAGATGTTTTTTTTTTACTTTGGCAAAGATCATGTTTTTTCCAATTCCAATTGTACATATTTTAAGGCATTAAATTATCAACTGGCTTGAAAACAAAGTGCATATAGATGGCGTAAGCAGGATTAAGGCCCTCCGGACCCCACATAGGTTTGGGCAGGGCCCCTGAATGTTTACAATGTCTGGCTCCGCCTCTGGAATTTACATATACACAATATATATACAATACACACACACACACACACACACATATACATACAACCACACATATCTGGGGTAGCACAGCAAACATGTACAAATGTTTTTACAACCACATACTTGCTGTGCGTCTTTATGTGTGTTCATACACAGCATACATTGTGGGCATTAAGAAGTCCTATCACTGAAGCAGGTAAAATGTTGGCCAACACAAATGAAATCAAAATTATTCCGTTAGTGAAGATCTAGAAGAAGAATTAGATGCCAAGCAGCTGACATTAATCCTGCACTTATTCATATAAGCAGTGCATGAACTGAACATGAAAGAAAGTCCAGTAAAGTAATGTTAACATTACATCCCGTGCACTTCATAATGCTTCATAAACTACCTTTTAAATCTCGGACCGCTGATGTTCTGTTGCCTACATACAGCTCGCTAAAGTTAGGAGACATACTTAAGATTCCGCTTGTGAAAAAAAGTTTTAACTATTAAAACAACCTGTCAAGAAGAAATGATTTGTCCCACAAAGATTACACAATTTCTGCAGGTCATTGGATTAGAAAGGACTTTAATTTAGTAAAGTAATTTAGTCATTCTTTATTTTTTTCATTTTCCAATACAAATTTTTAATAGCTTTAGTTTATAAATGTTGCCTTTTATTTAATTATTGTCCTGTTGTCCCTGTGGAAAAAGAGGCAAAGTTGCAGAACTACATTAAATGACCACATCCAAAGTTCTAGCACAGTAGTTTTAATCACTAGGTGAATAATGGAGGACTGCACTCTGAAAATAGTGATTCTGTTTAGCTTTATGGAAAGCTAAACAATTCAGTCCTGCACTGGGATATAAGGACATATTTTGCGTTTTAGACACTATAGACATGGTAGAGCTGCGGTATTTTCAAATCCCTTAAATGCCTTTCTTTTGGTCAAAGGATCCAAGTCCATGGTGAGTGTTTGGGTGTACAAATGAGATGAAGGTGATGATGTTTTCAATATGGAGTGCACAGTGATGTGTGAGTTTGACAGTGTGAAATTAAATAACTATGTAACGTAATAGTAATGTTAAAGGTAATAGCAATCTGTTAAAGTAAAACTTCAATCTTTTAATTTGAGAGACTGCTTTACCAAAACTGCTTTTCAGACCCTACGCACTATACAGCAAGGCTTGTTATGGGTCATTACTTTGGCACGTACTCAGAGATGCGGCCATCCACGAGAACCAAAGCAATCTACTTTCAGATATGTCATATGTGGGAAAATGTGCTGGTGATGTGGTGATCACGAAGACAAAAATATAGCCGCATAGAAGGGAAACAGCTAAACTTCAGGCTAAACTTCAGGTTTCACAAAGCTGAGCACAGTCACTTCAGTTGGTTTAATTCTGTCTAAAGAAGGCATGAGACCAATCCGACACTTGTTATCATGACTATGCATGCAGCCTTTCAGTAATTACACACTCAAAAGTTCTGCCAGTCCTAAATATTCAGCAAGTGTGGTGATATTTGGACAAACTGTCATTGATTTATACGTGCCAAATATGCGCCAGGCCAATGTTCATGTTTTGGTATTTGTGGCGCAACCTATTGAGTGATTTCTAAATAATTTGACACACATGGTT